GGAACAAAATCCACTGCCTTAGAAGCGAAATACGACACCACCGGTGCAAGTTTCCTAGTGACGCACGCCCCCCAAATTTAACGCAACTCTCTCTGTAATCCGTGCACCCGAACTCGAAGAGTGGAATTGCTCAAGAACTGTTCAGATCTCAAAAGGTAGGTTTGTGTTTTCGACTAGAAAAGTGAATAAAACTCATGAAAAGGAAAGACTCGTATTTATATGAGTCCCGGAAAAGGAAACACGCAAAGCAAACCAACCTAGGAAAAAAGGCGGGCCCGATCGGGCGAGCTCTCGCCCCGATCGGGCGCGAGATCGAATATCTCCAGACGCTGTGTCGCGCCCGATCGGGCGGACACCGCCCGATCGGGCGATCTGAAAACCCCATCCCGGGCGATCCATCGGACGAAGCCGCCCGATCAGGCTCGTCAAAAACTCGAGTCCGCCGCCCGGTCGGGCGAAGCCCGCCCGATCGGGCGCGAGAGTTCTCGTAGAAAAACTCTTGTTCGTCGCCCGGTCGGGCGAAGCCCGCCCGATCGGGCGCGAGAGTTCCCTATTTTTCCTCGACCATCTCCGCTCGATCGGGCGCGAGTCATCCGTTTGCATTACCTATTTCCAACAATCCCCCACTAATGCGAGCGGATCTTCAACATGAAATCAGAATAGTAAATGAAAGTCTTAGTACTTAAATGCTAGTATCCAAAGGTTTGAACTAACACATTAGTGCACAAGGTTTTCAACACTTCCCTAGTGAGTATCCTAAGATTTGAACTCCTAGGAGCGAGGAAGGGACCTTGAATGCACATACCTTGACTTTAGAGCTTAAGTAACTCCGCCAACCTTGACCAACACTTGGGCTCTCATGAGTACTTCAGGAAAACAATACTCCAATCTTCCCTTGAGAGAGGCCACCTCTCGTACTCACGTAGGTGTTCATCCTATGTGTTACTCACACACGTTCCCAGCAAATTCAAAGGTCTTTCCCTGCAGGCTTAAACATGTTTAAACACCTTGCAAACCAGAGAATTACATGCAATGAAACTAGAACATAAGTTCAACCCTTCAACTTTTCAGTGTCATTATCTATCCTATTTTAAGAACTACTGGGACAAAGATCTTAACTCTCTTAAGAACCTCCATCTATCCCTGCTCAGAAAACAACTGGACTAATGACATTAAGATATAAACTCATCCTAACAGAATCTAACTGGTAAAACTTACCACTCTTATAGAGTAATAGATTCAAACACATGATGCATATATAATAATCCACATGATTCATGCCAATGAAACAAATAAACCAAAACAGGTTCCTGATTTATTAAAACCAATGTATCATGTCACATAGCCTGAATAACTACCATTTCAAGTCATTACAACAAAGGTCCTAAACCCATACCAGTTGATGACTCCACCACTAGTCTACGATTTAATCCCTTAGTAAAAGGGTCTGCCAGGTTTTTCTCTTTCCGAACATAGTCCAACAAAATAACCCCATTCATAATAAACTGCCTCACAGACTCATGTCTGACTCTTATGTGCCTTTTCTTACCGTTGTAAACGCTATTTTTAGCAACACATATGGCGGCTTGTGAATCACAATGCATAGACACAGGTGGTGACGGCTTCCCCCACAAAGGAATATCAATAAGAAAATTTCTCAACCAATATGCCTCTTGTGTAGCAAGATCCAATGCGATGAACTCAGCTTCCATTGTTGATCTGGCTATACACGTCTGCTTACCAGACTTCCATGAAACTGCACCCCCACTAAGGGTAAACACATAGCCACTTGTAGAGCTTGTTTCATCACTATCCGTTACCCAATTTGCATCACAATATCCTTCAAGAACCAAAGGATGACCAACAAAATTCAATCCCCAAGACATGGATCCACATAGATATTTGAGCACACGCCTCAAAGCAACCCAATGTTGCTCACTAGGACAATGAGTATAGCGACTAAGTCTACTAACAGCAAAAGCAATGTCAGGGCGAGTGCAATTCATCAAAAACATCAGACTACCAAGCACCTTAGCATATTCAGTTTGAGACACACCGTCCTTCACTTTTTTCACCAAAGTTCCAGAAGGATCAAAGGGAGTTCTCAATGGAGGCAAATCAAAACAATTAAAGTTATTCAGAATTTTCTCCACATAATGAGACTGAGACAGAAAATACCCTTTCTTGGTTTTAGTAACTTTAACACCAAGGATCACATCTACCTCTCCCAAATCCTTCATCACGAACTTTGAATTTAAATACTTCTTAGTTTCATTTATGACATACATGTTTGTGCCAAACAGGAGCATGTCGTCAACGTACAGGCATAATATCACACATTGCGCACCAAACATCTTAGAGTACACACATGCATCACTACCATTGACAACAAAACCAAAACTAAGAATAGTTTTATGAAATTTTTCATACCATTGCGTCGGAACTTGTTTCAAGCCATACAAGGATTTCTTTAGTCTGCACACCTTATTCTCCATCCCATGAACTACAAAACCCGGAGGTTGCTCCATGTAGATCTCCTCCTCCAAATCGCCATTCAGAAAAGTTGTCTTAACATCCATCTGATGCACAATCAAGTTGTAAGATGAAGCTAAGGCAAACAAAACACGAATAGTGGCAATTTTAGTCACATGAGAATAAGTATAAAAATAATCAAGGCCAAATTTTTGAGTGAATCCTCTTATCACCAATATAGCTTTGAACCTTTCCACGGTGCCGTCGGTTCTCATTTTTCTCTTGAAAATCCACTTGCACCCAATAGCTCTGCTCCCTTTTGGCAGGTCCACAAGCTCCCAGGTTTCATTTGACATGATTGAGTCAAGCTCACTGTTTACAGCTTCCTTCCAGAATGTTGCATCTACTGAATCCATAGCTTCTTCAAACGATTTCGGATCTTCATCCACAACCTGTAGACACAGCATGATCTCATCTAGATCATCTTCGAACTCACCTAGATTTTCGCACTCTGTTATAAAGGCTGTTAGGAAATCAGGTCCAAAGCTTGTGTCCACTCTTTGCCTTTTACTTCTCCTAGTTTGAATTTCACTTTCAATCCTAGGGGAAGTATCTTCTGGCTCTACAGATGAAGAAACTGAAGAAACATCATTAGAAACTAAGATTTTCTTCAAAGGAAATACCTGTTCAAAGAACTCTGCATCACGAGATTCAGATATAGAGCAATCTTCCAGACTCATAAACCTGTATGCGGCACTATTCTTAGCGTAGCCAATGAAAACTGTATCATAGGTCCTAGAACCTATAGTTGAACGTTTGAACGATGGATAGCCCACCTTAGCTAGACACCCCCACACTTTCATGTGATTCAAGTTTGGAGCATAACCCTTCCATATTTCATATGGAGTCTTGTCTAACTTCTTGTGAGTTACTCTGTTTTGTACATAGTTAGCTGATAGAACCGCTTCACCCCACAAATTGTCTGGCACCGGAACTTAGGAGCATTGCATTCATCATTTCCTTCAAGGTCCTATTTTTCCTCTCTGCCACACCATTTTTCTACGGAGTATACGGGGCCGATACTTCGTGAATGATTCCCTCACTTTCACACAAGTCCTTGAGGAAATCGGAGTCATACTCTCCACCCCTATCTGAGCGAACTCTCTTTATTTTCCGCTCCAACTGATTTTCTACTTCTGCCTTATACACAAGAAACTTGGACTCAGCTTCATCCTTCTTCCTTAAAAGATACACCTTGATATATCTAGAACAATCATCGACGAAGGTGATATAGTAGTGTTTCCCGCCTCTACTTTCCAAGTTCTTAAAGTCTGCTAAATCTGAATGAATTAGCTCAAGTGGTGTGGTCTCTCTCTTCGTGACAGATTTGTAGGGTTTCTTCACGAATTTAGACTCTGCACACACTTCACATTTTTCAAATCCATCTAATAACATATTTGGGAGCAAATTTAAACTTTTCATCTGTTTCAATTTAGTTGCACCAACATGACCCAACCTAATATGCCATAATTCAAAGGACTCAACAATATAAGCAGAAGTAGAAATCTTATTCATTGAAGGAACAGTTACAATCTCAAGAACAAATAGGCCCCCACTAAGGTAACCCTTTCCAACATATTCCCTATTACGGGTTAACACAAGTTTATTAGCATCAAAAACTAACTTGACTCCTACTTTGTTCAATAAAGCACCAGAAATTAAGTTTCTACGAAGAGAAGGAACATACAGCACATTGTGAAGAGCCAAGGTCTTCCCTGAAGTCAGCTTCAGAACCACTTTGCCCTTTCCAAGTACCTCAGAGCTGCTTGAATTTCCCATGTAGACTTGTTCACCTTCCTTTGCATATTCCATACTGACAAACAGGTCCTTGTTAGCACAGAAATGCTTAGATGCACTAGTGTCCACGATCCATTCACTGTTGTTCTCAACCAGGTTGACTTCAGAAACAACTGCAGCAATGACATCTTCATCCTCATTCTCAACCAGATGAGCATGACCCTTGATTCCTCCACTCGATTTCAGATTTTTCTTCTTCTTGTTTTTGCATAGTGAAGCAAAGTGCTCCACTTCACCACACGACCAACACTTGACAGTGACTTTCTTCCCAATCTTGCCCTTAGCTTGGAGATTTCCCTTCTTCTCAGAGCTCCCCTTCTTGGCACGATTATCACTTGGTTTCTTGTTAGAGTCAGCACCAGATTCAACAAGGTTAGCCTTGATTGCTAACACAATCTTAGGCTTAGAGGAAACATCCTTAAGCCTGTTGGCTTCCTCAATCTTCATGTGGCTCACAAGTTCTTCTAGGGTTAGATCCCTCTTTTTATGCTTGAGGTGATTTCTATAATCAGACCAAGAATCAGGTAATTTTTCAATCAAAACATTAGCCTGAAGAATTTCACACATCTTCATACCCTGAGCAAGAATTTCAACAACATAATTTTCATACATATGGACTTGTTCCATAATAGGCTTTGTATCAACCAGTTTGAAATTCAACCAATTTCCAGTCACATACTTTTTTTCCCAGCATCATCAGCACCATATTTCTTCTCTAAAGACTCCCACATCTCCTTAGCAGATTTCATATTAACATATAAATCAAAGATGTTGTTTTTCATGCTGTTCAAAAGATGACCTCTAATGAATTTATTATCACGATCAAATTTCTTGATTTCAGATTCATTAGTAATAACAGTAGTAATCCTTTGACTAGAGCTAGATTCTTTATTCCCAGGAGCAGGAGTACTAGGAATTTCAATCATGGTATTGGTTTGCTCAATGGGTTTTGGAGCATCTCTAAACAAAACATAATCAATTTCTACTTGTTCAAAAGCAATCAACATCCTTTGTGACCATCTCTTATAATTAATTCCATCAAGAGACTCAACCTTAGACAGATCTAGGTATAGACGAGTTTGAGAATTGCTAGTCATGATATCAACAGAATAAATCAAATATTTCGCTTCTAAATTGTTGCTAAAATAACTGTTGAAATCAATAACAAACAAAAAAGATTAAAACTTTCCTGGATTGAAGATCCCAAACTCACAGTCGCGTCGTGGAACAAAATCCACTGCCTTAGAACCGAAATACGCCACCACTGGTATAAGTTTCTTAGTGACGCACGACCCCCAAGTTTAACGCAACTCTCTCCGTAATCCGTGCACCCGAACTCGAAGAGTGGAATTGCTCAAGAACTGTTCAGATCTCAAAAGGTAGGTTTGTGTTTTCGGATAGAAAAGTAAGTGAAACTCATGAAAAGGCAAGACTCGTATTTATATGAGTCCCGGAAAAGGAAACACGCAAAGCAAACCGACCTAGGAAAAAATGCGGGCCCGATCGGGCGAAGTCCCGGAAAAGGAAACACGTAAAGCAAACCGACCTAGGAAAAAAGGCGGGCCCGATCGGGCGAGCTCTCGCCCGATCGGGCGCAAGATCGAATTTCTCCTGACGCTATGTCGCGCCCGATCAGGCGGACACCGCCCGGTCGGGTAATCTAAAAACCCCATCCCGGGCGAGCCATCGGGCGAAGCTGCCCGATCGGGCTCGTCAAAAACTCGAGTCCGCCGCCTGGTCAAGCGAAGCCCGCCCGATCGGGCGCGAGAGTTCCCTATTTTTCCTTGACCATCTCCGCCCGATCGGGCGCGAGTCATCCGTTTGCATTACCTATTTCCAACAAAATTCACAATGTAGAATGATCCCTTAAAATGGATATTCACGTGAGTCTGATAAACAACGCAAGTCTTTTGCCAAACCATGTTTGTTTATTTCTTTATTGTTCAGTATCATTTTGTTAATTTTGTTTATTTGACTCAGATTTTCATGATTAATTATTTACTAAATATTGTTAATACCTAAACCATTTTTTTTAATTATTATTATTGGAAAATCAAGAGATGGAAAATTTGCGGAATTTTGGGTATTTCAAATTTATTTGAGCCAATGGATCATTTTCAATCTTAATTCATTCTTGTTAGGGGTGCTAAAAAAACCCGACCCACTTGTCCCGACCCGACTATCCGGATGATACCCGATGGGTATTTTCATAAAATTTTCCCAATATTTCGAGTCGAGTACCCGTCCCGGTTAATTTATTCCTCGGGTCACCGGTCGGAACATGGGCCGGAACTTCAGTTATATTTTTTTTGTACTTTCTGAAATTCAATATAACCTTTTTCTAAAACTAAAATAAGGTTTACTGATTGCATTTGCAGCCACCTGCCATCTCCTCTTCCTTTCTTTGGTTCAACTTTCTCTCTCTTTCATTTTTCCTCACTACTCACTATCTCACGGCAGCCTCACCCTTCTTCTCAGACCATCAATATCTCACGGCTCAACGACGGCAACAACTACTCCGCAAGGTGCAACCACCATCTTCTCCACGATGAGGCGCAAGAATCGTTTCCTTTGAACGAAGGAGGATAAATTATCATGCTTGAAATAGAGATCAGAGAAAGTAAATCGCGAGTAAGTTAGATATAAATTTCCGGCGGCCGCTCGCTTGATGTTCGACAGATCTGATATGTACCTCTACAGCCCAAAAAATATTTCAATTATTTATTTTGGGTTCAGTTGGACAATTATAATTATAATTATCAATTTGAGTTGATTTTATTAGTTTTTTATATATTAATTAATTGTGGTTTTGTAATTCATGAGGGTGTAAAAGTTTGAGATTCATATTTGATTTTTATTATGGTTGATTTTTTGGTTTTTTATGTGATTATAATTACTAGAGTAATTTATAATTAGCTTGTGATTTTTAGAAGATAGAAGAAAAGGGTACTTTTTTAAAAAAAACAATATAATCGGGTACCTTGTGACCCGACCCGAGAAAATCGGGTACCTGAAACCCGGGTACCCGTTCTTTTCGGGTCGGGACATAGGTCGCGTTTCTAACTACCGAAAGATCCGGGTACCCGAGTTTTCGGGTACGGTTTCCGGATCTGAACACCCCTAATTCTTGTGCATCTACTTTTTTTTTTGAAGAAAATTCATTCCCATATATATATATTTTTTTTTATGAAAACCAAACACTAAGCATCAATTAATTATGGGACAAAGTGTTCATTAATTTTCCCAAGTTTGCTCGAGGCCACAACTCACAAGGAACAAGCTTAACAAGGTTATGGGATACACAATTTCCATCACGTGTCACGTGAGACCAACTAACTGACAAAGAGTTTGAGCACAAATGCATAATATCACCAAGCACAATATCCATTTCCAGAGATAACACAGCCTTTGACAATCTTTCAATGATGAATTTGCAATCTGACTCCAAGATTATCTTCCTGAAACCGTAGCTCTTTGCCAGCTTGAGTGAAAATAGTGAAGCCTTAGCCTCAGCTACCTCTGGCGTCTAGTAGGCACAGCTTCTTCTCGTGGCAGCTACAAGAACACTGCCTTCACTATCTCTGGCAACTGTACCGAGACCCACCCAACCATCTACAGTGAGGCAGGAATCTGCATGCATTCAATTTGATGAGACCAGTAGGCGGGGCACTCCATTTATTTGGGCTGATAGGAGGGCGCAAACCTACAGCACCATAACTCCGATTGGAGTAGTTTCCTTGCTCTTCAACATACCTGTTCACACGCTCCACAATTACTGTATTCGGAGAAGATTTATTCTGGAAAACTTTACTATTTCGAACACCCCAAATACACCAGGTAAGAAACATGCCCCTTTGTATGGTCTTCGGTCCAAGCTTTTTCCAACTCACAATGAGGTCACAAATGGAGTCAAAACCACTCTAATTTTCCATTTATGCACACAAGCAGTCATCCCAAAGACCTTAGACACGCCTACACTCAACAAAAGCATGGCTTACGATTTCCACATCCGAAAGACACCAAGGACAGCAGGTTTAAGAAATCATATGTCGTTGATATAAGAGGCTTTGGACAGGAAGGGTATTCGTACACAATCTCCAGAAAAAAGGACAGACTTTTGGCGTGACATCGGCTTTCCAAATTTCCACCCAGGCTTGGTGGAAATCATCGAGAACACACCCCTTCCCAACAAGTAAGTTGTTTTTACCGTATACATTCTAGATTTTGAAAAAGCCCAAATCTGCTCATCGTCTTGGTCTCTTTCAGTAAAAGGGATGGCTAATATGCACTACTTGTCTCGGTCGGTAAAATTTTCCCCAATGATGTCATGCCTCCAATCCCTCGTATTTGGGTCAATGATATCACATACCTTAGTAGGAGCAGAATTCTCTTCACTAAGGATAAAATGACCTTCCGCATCTCTAGGCGTCGTTCGAAGTGTGCCTACGTAAAAACATGTTGTGAATATGCTTGGCACTCATAGGAAGTGGAAATTGACATAATACGATTAGGGACAAGGAAAGTAGGGAGCCGCCAACAAGTTTTTAAGGAACTTGTAAACCGTTCACGGATCATAAAAGGCAACCACGAATAAGGGACAACGAAGGCAACAATGATTGACCCATGAAGATTACACCCCATTCATAATCCATGAGATTACTAACTCCATATGGTTCGGAACCACGAAAGGAGGATCGGGGATGATGGTACAAAATGAGTCATGGAGTCACATTCGCCCGTATCGGCCTCTACTCGATTCTTATAGTGAAAAGTGATTTTTTCGATCTCAAAGGCATACAAACAAAATATTCAATTTGCTCCAAACTATTATTATGCTAAATTGGTTTAATATTAATGCCACATATAATTCTAAAATATTTGTGATCACTTGATTAAACAACAAGATTAAAAAGGAAACTAAATCGGTTGTCCAAATTAACTTATTAGTCGTGATTTTCAATTACATATTCCCTTTAACATACAATATGGTGATCATAATAACAATAATAGAATTAACATTAATATTGGAAGCAATTCAACAATAATAGCGTTAGTGAAATCAAATATAAACCCTAATCATGATACTAGCAACAAGAATAAAAATAAGAGTAATTAAGTGATTAATTATTCACTTTCCGCGTTTCCTTGAAATTGCTACATCATGAATAAATTGTTAGTAACTTCAAAAAAAAATATAAATCAAATAAAAATTAAATTAAATAAAAAGTAGAGTTGATTTGGTCCAAACCTTCAGTTAATTATACCTTTCACGCCTTGGTTTAAGTATAGAACTTTGGGTATTGTATGAACTCCTTGGAGTGCTTAATTAGGGGAAGTATTTTGAGATAATAGGGTGGCTAGTATTTAGGATAAAGAGGGAGAAGAGAATTATTTGATGATAAAGCTTGTTGATGATTGAAAAAGGGGAGATATGACCTCTATTTATAGGGAAAAAAGAATGGTCTAAAAAACAAGATAAGGTCCGAATTAAATCGGAATAAAACTCGATAGACTGCATATTTTGCGATTTTTGTTTTTATCATATCTTTTGATCCAGAAATCGGAATAAGATGAATAATATATAGTTGGAAAGATCTTGAAGTATAATTTCTTACCCAATTAGAATCAGATTAAAATATTTTGTAGAACAAAAGATATAGCCGAAATAGTGAGACGGTGTCAGTTTTGGATAGAGTTTGATATTTTATTCATATCTTTTCCGTTATAGCTCGGAATTGATATTATAATATATCATTGGAAAGATAATTTCAAGGGATATCCAAAAATATAAAATTTGGATAAAAAATATGAGGCACGAAAATAATATCAGTCTATCTTTGAACGTCTTTCAATTCGGATAGAATTAGGACTTTCAAAAAAAGAAGTTTTATTCAATTTCAAACTCTTTAATCTTATCTTTTCAAAACGGATAATTAAGATCTCTTAGAACTTATAGAAGCTTCTAATTAATCCTAAACAGTTTAGGAATGGGATTAAATAATTTGGACCCTCCACGTGATCATTGGGTCGTAGGTAAGGTGGGATTAGGTTCGCTTTGGGCTCAGTTTAATATTTTGGTCATAACTTATTCGTTATAACTCGGATTTTGGCTTATAATATATCGTTGGAAAACTATTTTCAAGCCCCATGCAACTATTCAATCATTTGACCCATATTATGAACCAAAATTAATGGATTAAACGTTTTTATAAAAAGGACACGAAATGAATGATTTTAAAGGACACGAAATGAATTATTTATGGTTTAAAGGCACGAAAAGTGGAAAATAAGTTATGGTTTGGGGAAATGGGATAGAAGTTGGGTTGGTTTATGAAATAGAAATATGGATTTAATCACTCCAAGATTAAATACTCAACCCGAACAATAATGGCGGTGAAAGGTTGTTCATCATCGGGTTTGGTTTTGGGGAGACATTTTTAGGTGTCTACAGCATCCGCCACCCAAGGTTCAGCCCATAGATCGACACTATGTCCATTTCCAACATTCCATAAGACCCCATCCTTTATAATTGCCTTCGATGACCAAATACTTTTCCAAGAAAAGCTACCTGACAAGCTAAGATAGGAATCAAGGAAGTTAGTGTGGGGATAGTATTTTGCCTAGAAAACCCGCCTAAGTAGGGAGGAAGGAGCCTTTACAAGCCTCCAAGCTTGTCTCACTAAAAGAGCATCATTAAAGAATTCTAAGTTTCAGAACCCCATACCACCCAAACATTTAAGGTTGCACATAGAGGACCAAATCTTCCAGTGAGTCTTCCTTTTGCTACCATCGAACCCCACCATCTAGCCATCGCAGAGTGGAGTCGTTGGATAATCGTGCTAGGAAATTTGTATACCCCCATCAAATATGAGGAAATAGCCTGAATTACTAATTTCAATAGAATTTATTTTCTCGCTCTGGACAAAAGTTTCTCTTTCCACCCCTGCAATTTTTTCCAATACTCTGTCAAGCACTGCCTCAAAGACTGCTCTCTTTGATCTCCCCACAATGGTCGGGATGCCCAGGTATTTTCCATGTCTGTGAACCTATCTCATATGGAGTATCTCCATCAAACCTTCTCTCTGAGCTATAGGAACCCCCGTACTGAATGAGTCCTCTGACTTTTCATAATTAGTTTTCTATCCGAATGCATTTTCATACTGGTTGAGAATTTCAACTACAACTTTGCACTCATGTCGGTTGGCCCTAGTGAGGAGTAGGCTATCATCTGCAAAAATAAGGTGAGAGATTTCTGGTCCATTGCGACTAGCTCTAACCCCATTAAGAGATTTCTCCCGAATTTTATTCTGCAACATACTTGAGAACACATCAGTTACCAAAATAAAGAAGTACGGGGAAAGAGGATCCCCTTGTCGAAGACCCGTAGTTGGGGTAATCGACCCACATACTCCTCCATTGATAACGAAAGAGTAAGAAACCGATGACACACATTCCATCACCAAATTCACCCATCTCCCTTCAAACCCATCGTCAGCAGCAATTTTTTCAAGAAACCCCATTCAACCCTTTCATAGGACTTGCTCATATCAAGCTTTAAGGCCATATATAGTCCCTTTCTTGCTCTTAATCCTATTTTCATAGTATGAAAATTTTCTAGAGCGATCAAGGCATTATCTGTATAAGACGACCCGGGACAAAAGTACTCTGGTTTTTCAAAATAATATCAGGGAGAATATTCTTAAGACGCATAACAATGGATTTTGACACCAGTTTATAGAGTACATTACACAGGGCTATAGGACGATATTCTGAGGAGTGCATCAGTTTATCAACTTTAGGGATCAATACTACATTAGTATTATTAATATGACTCGGAGAAGCATAGCCATGTAAAATATTACTTACAAAATAAGTCACCTCATCGCCAACAATGTACGCTGCCAAAATCTTTGATAAAAAACGGCATGCATTCCATCCGGACTGAGGGCTTTACATGGCTGCATTTGCTTTAGAGCCGCGGCAATCTCATCTTTAGTAAAAGGCCTTAAGAGTTCTCTGCTGATATCAGCTATGATGCAATGATTAACATTCTCAAGAGTTTCCTTTATGTCATTTTCAGGAGGAGATGAAGACGAGAATAAAGAATTAAATTTTTTTGTTAAAACATCTTCTATTATGTCCTCATTCGACTGCCAGACTCCACAATCATCAAAAATACCACTAATAAAATTCTTCTTCCTTCCCTGCGAGCCTTGTGGTGAAAATATTTGGTATTTTTATCACCGTCCCGAACATCCGATACTCTACTACGAATGTACTAGTAAGCTTTTTGCTGCTCATTCAATTCATTTAATTTTTTCTCCAAAGCTGCACATTCTTCCACACTCTTAACCGTTGATACTTTATGTTGTGCCACAAGTAATGCCTTTTCGGTTTCATCAATTTCCTCATCAAGCTTCCGAAATTTTTCCTTACTCCATGCCCCAAGTCCCTGAGCGATTGCAACTAATCTTTCAGTAGTAGTGCGACCCTCTGACTTGTCCCAAGCTTCCTTTACATTATGCTCACAGGTTTCATCTAATAGCCAGCCAGTCTGGAACTTAAAACCCTTGTTCTTATGCCTTTTTCCCTTATCTCCTTCCCCATTGTCTAAGAAGAATGGCACGGTGGTCAGACTTGTATCGAACGAGATGCTCGATCAACAATAGCATTGGGGAGCAAGCGATGCGATGAGCTAGAAGCCAAGAACCTGTCTAATCTTTCCCTTACCCAAGTATTCACGGAGCTTCCTCTTTCCAAAGTATACCAGCTTCCCGTGTAACCCAATTCTCGAAGTCTGCAGTCATTAACCATGTCTCTAAAGTTAGCCACTTCCCTTCTATTTCTATCCGCCCCTCCCTCTATCTCACCATAAAAGAGGAATTCATTGAAATCCCCTCCAAATAGAATCGGCAGTGAGGTTTCAAAGCATAAGTGTCGAATCAAATTCCACAATCTATGCTTATCTTCTTCCTTCGGCCACCCATATACACCAACAAAGCGCCAATTCCCCTCCGAAGTAGTAATATCCCCATATATATGATTTTGTGAGAAGGAAACTAATCTAAAATCTATTTTTTCCTTCCAGTACAAGCATAATCCACCAGACTTCCCCCTACTTGCCACTTCCAAAGAGTTCTCAAACCCCAATCTCCCCTTAAGATTCTCCACTTTATTCTTTTTTATCATCGTTTCCGACACAAAAACCATGTCGGGGGCATATCTTCTACTCCATTTATGGAGCTGTCGAATTGTCGAGGAGTTGCCCAATCCTCGACAGTTCCAACATAAGAAAATCATTGTGGTAGGCGGGGTTGGTTTTGACCAACCTCCGCCGCTTCATCAATCTCCATGTTAACCACTCCATCCTGCTTGAGGCGTTTAACAACATTGTCAGCACCCTCAATTTCCACCCTGTCATCCCTAAGAGATCGTTTGCGATGTATGTGTGGAACATTAGTTGTCTTCCTAATAGAAGTGGTATTACGTGCCTTCTTCTTTGTCAGTTTTCCATCCTCTTTTGTAGAGCTCCCTATATTGAAAGTACTCAGGAACTTAGAAGAGTCCTTTGTAGCAGTAACATTCACTTTAGGGTCCCCTGACTTGGCGCACACAATAATGAGATTTCCACCATAACATGCGTTTATTGGGTACATGGTTGGGGTTATGGAAGTAGCTAGTTCGTCTGCTGCAGGGGAAGTTCGGGGTGTATCAGTGGTCGTAAGTTAATGGGACTCCTCAAGTACCTGTACAGGTTCATCTTCTGGCTTTTTTGTCACAAAGTTTAGATGTCTGGCAGTCTTCAAAGAGGATAACTCATCCCTTTCTTTTGAGATGCCCTTCCTTGGAGTAGCTTTCAGTTCCATACTCCAACCAAGTTTCTCTTGCTTATCTCACTAGTAGAAAAATTCAAAAAGGCAACCCCCTTTTGGCACCGGTTCAAGCCAAACCGGTGCCAAAAACCGGCCTAGAATTGGGCGGGATTAAATAAGTTGGTAAAAGGCACCAGTTCAACTCAAACCGGTGCTAAAAAACTAAAAAGCACCGGTTTGAACCGGTGCCTTAGTGAACCGGTGGTTTTTTTTTAAAAAAAAAAACCCGGCCCTTTTCATTCAATTCCCTCCTTTCTTCCCCCTTTTTTCTTCCTCCTTTCCTTAACCATTCACCTTCACTGTTTCATTCGAAAAACCCAAGCCATTGCTGCCTCCGTCCCCTCCTTTTCCCTCCACCACTGCTGCCACCTTGAACACCACCAAAAAACCCGAACCTAGTCTCCGTCCCCTCCTTTTCCCTCGATCTCTGCTGTTCTAATTGAAGAAGTCGTGCCGCAGCCCTGCAGTTCGAATTGAAGAAGCCTCGGTCTGCTGTTCTCCTCTTCTCTTCTCCTCTTCTCTGCCGCCGCGCCACTTTCAACCGCACCACCTTCAACCCTTCTTTTGCTGCACCACCTTCAACCGCCGCGCCGCAGCCCTGCTGTTCGAATTGAAGAAGCCCTGAACGTCGCCGCTGCGCCACCTTCAACCGCACCACCTTCCACGGCTGTTCTAGGTATAATTTTTTTCCTTTATTCACAATTATTTTATCAATTATGTATTTTTATTAATTTCTTTTGCTTGTTGAATTGTTAAGCAAATTAAAATTTAGGGGCTTCCTAATTAGAAGATAAATATGATAATCACATCACATTGAGATCTTAAAATAGTTTGGTATATATAAATGAATTGAACAGAAGGAAAAAAAAACTTGAGAACAAGTGGTCACATGACTCTTGTTATTATCCCAGTTTGCGTCTAGTATTTGTATGCTTCAGTGTATATGGTTGGGTTTTGCTGCTAGATGGTTGTCATCGCTTGCAAGAGCTGTGTAAGTGAATGTAGATGCGGGCTTTATTTAGGAGTTGGGTTGTGGTTTGGGTGTTGTTGTGAGGGACAAGGAAGGGGTTGTCAAGGTAGTAGGGGTGCAGCAGAGTAGTGCTATTTGGGAGGTAAGGGTGGCAGAAGCAAAAGTTGTGATGTGTGGGCTTTGGCTTGCTGCAAACCCGGGGTTGCGAGAGGTAATCATTAAATTAAGAGCTATTGTTTTGTAAATAATTTGAGAGCGGTTGTTTTGAGACTGATTGTTTTATTGCAAACCTGAGGTAATGTGTTAATTATTTTTGCAAAACCTATATCCTACTAGCTGGTTCCAAGAATTTATTTCAAGTAAAATCTGATTCATAACTATACAATGTTTGCAAAAAAAATGATCACTAACCTAGATTAACGTAGTATAGAAAATTATCTAATGGGATTCAAGCTGCACCAGATTGATTGGGATCATTAAGATTTAAAGCATGCAACTACTTTGGCCATTAGCCCCTTTAATTTTTATTTTTTATTTTTATTATTTTTCTAAAAAATTTGCACTGTTATTTTATATTTATTAATTAGTTTGTGGGAGTTATGTTTGTTCCCTTTACTTACCCTCCTACTGATTGCTTCGACATATATTTATTAATTAGGTTTATTTTTGTATTTTTTTTTTAACAGATTTGTGAGTTGAAGCACGAGTTTAATTAGCTTGAGGACTACATATTGAGCTCAAGTGGGTAGTTGCTATATTGGTATGACTTATAAACTTTACTTAGCTATATTTCTTTCTATTTTTTCATTTAATAAAAGGTGATTCATGAAATTTCAACTTGTGTATTGTTTAATTGCAAATAAATACAACAATATATAGAATACTTGAATTGCATCATCATATGCCTAGATACCCGTTCAAGGCTTTCTCATTAGGAGAAAGTCTTGAATAGTCCCCGGTTGGGACTGTTATTGAATGTGTACTCTTACTTAGGTGGTGAATGTATGTTTTCTTTTCGATTTTAAGGAACATCTTGGCTTACCATTTTCTCACTATGTTCTCTGGGTACATATGTGGGTAATTAATTATCTACATCGTGTACTTGGAGAACTAGGGGGAAATGCTGCCGGATTTTCCTTAAAATTGGAAAGTTGACATACATTCACTAGTGAGATTAGACATTCAAGGATGGGTTAGGTTGGAGTGATAAGGACCCTTTGGAAATATGCATTTTTTCACTATATGAATGGTATATTCATGTTTTGTACTTGAATTTGATTTACATAAAATATGTAGCACTTACACATTATAAATTATATGTTGCTATATATGTTTATAGACAATTTATTAAATGGAGAAGGATCGTGGTTGGATGTATGGTAGACGCGATACATTGGAATTTTGGAATGGGGTTCAAGATTTTTGCGAGAGGGCTTTAGCTTATCAACGCAAGCTGGGAGGCAAAGGCCTTTATTGTCCTTGTGTTGATTGTAATTGTGTGAATGTGGTCGATAGTGTTGAAATCATTAGAGATCATGTATTATGTCGTGGGTTTAGGCAATTATACCATGTGTGGATTTGGCACAGAGAAAGTGGAGAGTACAGTGGGGATCTTGATCGGAATGATGTGCGTGTTAGAAGCACTGAGATTCATGTGGACGAGGAATACGAGAATGATGAGTATATTGTTGATAATGGTGAGGATGGAGCCGATGGAGATCAGGCGGATGAGGTCGAGGATGAACAAGTGGATGAGATGTTGCAAGGTGTTGAAGGTGAAGTGTTTGAATTATTATCGGAGGCTTCCAAAAAGCCTTTGTATCCCGGGTGCAAAAAATACTCCAAACTATCGGCTGTGCTAACACTTTTCAACATTAAGTCGAAGCATGGGTGGACGGACATCAGTTTTACTTCTTTGTTGACCGCATTAAGTGATATGTTGCCTGATGGGAATGAAATTCCTAAGTATTATTATTACGCAAAGAAGCTCATGTGTCTTTTTGGTTTGGAGTATAAGAAGATACATGCATGTCCTAACGACTGTATTTTGTATCGAAATGAGTATGAAAAACTGCAGGAGTGTCCACGATGCAAGCGGTCGCGGTACATGCGCATGAGTTGCAATCCTGGCACGGAGGGACCTCCTGCTAAGGTGTTGTGGTATCTTCCCATTATTCCAAGGTTTAAGTGTCTGTTCTCAATACCAAAAGACACTAAAAACTTGAGGTGGCATGCAGAGGGAAGAAAGAAAAACAGAATGCTGAAGCATCCAGCTGACTCTCCACAGTGGAAGAACATTGATTTGAAGTTTGAGGAATTTGGTAATGAAGTCAGAAATTTAAGGCTTCGGTTGTGCACGGGCGGGATGAATCCATTTGGCACTCTTAGTACCCAACACAGCACATGGCCGGTACTTTTACTGATTTATAATTTGCCTCCTTGGTTGTGCATGAAACGTAAGTATGTAATTCTTTCATTGCTAATAACTGATCCTAAGCAACATGTAAACGACATAGATGTTTACCTTGCGCCGCTTATTGACAACTTGATAAAGATGTGGGACGAAGGGGTTTCCGTTTTCGATGCTCATCAGAACGAGATGTTCACATTGCGTGCAGCCCTTATGTGGACCATGAATGACTTCCCTGCATATGGCAACTTGTGTGGGTACAAGGTCAAAAGGAAAAAAGCATACCCCATATGTATTGATGACACATCAAGCGTATACCTGACTCATTCTCACAAAGATGTCTACCTACGGACTCGAAGGTTCCTTAGGCATGATCACCCGTACCTTAGGCAAAAAAAGGCATTCGATGGAACCGTGGAAGAGGATACTGCGCCTAGACCATTGACTGGTGCTGAGATTAGTGCTCGGGTGAAAGGGATACGAACGGTGTTTGGAAAATCAGAAAAAACTGTGGTCTCAGCTGCTCTGTTTAAGAAAGAATCAATCTTTTGGAAGTTGTCGTACTGGAGAGAACATGAAGTTAGGAATTGTCTTGATGTGATGCATATAGAGAAGAACGTGTGTGATGCTCTTTTTGGGACGCTTATGAATATCCCAGGCAAAACAAGGACGGAAAGGGTGCACGGTTAGATTTGAAAGAGATGAGGATTCGTCCAGAATTGTGGCCTCAAGAAAAGGTTAGAAAAAGGAAGGAGCCGAGAATAGAAGATGAAAGTGTTTCGAAAAAAGGGAAGGAGAAGAGCAAGGGAAAGGGAAAGGCCAAAGATGCGTCAAAGAAGAAAGTTAAGGGTAAAGGGAAGGATGAAAAGAATTATTTACCCCCGGCTTGCTATACATTGTCAAGGGTAGAGAAACGTATGTTTTGTGCATGTTTGTA